ATCAGAGGGCTGGAACACCTCTCCTATGAGGAAAGGTTGAGGAACTGGTCTTGTTTAGCCCGGAGAAGAGAAGGCTCCGGGGAGACCTCATCGTGGCCTGCCAGTACTTGAAGGGAGCATATTAATAGGAGGGGGAACGGCTGTTTATGAGGGTGGATAGTGATAGGACAAGGGGGAATGATCTTAAACTGAGACAGGGGAGGTTTAGGTTAGATATTAGGAGGAAGTTTTTCACACAGAGCGTGGTGACACACTGGAACAGGTTGCCCAAAGAGGCTGTGGATGCCCCATCCCTGGAGGCATTTAAGGCCAGGCTGGATGTGGCTCTGGGCAGCCTGGTCTGATGATTGGCCACCCTGCACATAGCAGGGGGGATGAAACTAGATGATCATTGTGGTCCTTTTCAACCCAGGCCATTCTGTGATTCTATGATTCTATGAAAATATTGTGATACTCAGTGGAAAAAAAAAAAAAAAAGCTGTTCAGATTATATAGTCATTAGAAGTCATGAGAATTTTTACTGATAGCATGTGTCAGTCTGTAACAGCAACAAAAAAAGCAAACAATTTACCTCATCCATTCTTGCTGTGTTTCTTAGTTGCTTTTTGTTTGTTTTTCTTTACTGAAAAAAAATTAGTGTACTAACTCAATTCACTGAAGTCAACCTGAATTACTGCAGTAAAGATGCTGAGACTACAGAAAGCTTCTGCAAGTCTATATATGCACCTGAATGTAATGCTTCTTTGGTGAGAGGGAAGTAGATGGAAATGCAAATAAACTGGGAGAGGAATGGGCAATCTGATAATTTGCTACTTCACAGTACTCAGTCATTTGATATCTTCTTTAAAAAGCAGTATAATTGATCAGAATTTTCAAAATATTAGTTATGATGTCTTTTAATCTCTGATTCTGAGTAGGTGTTCCAAAACATTTGGAAGAAAAATATACGGAATGAACTTGGTGCTGCTAATAACCGCCCAATAGAAGAACAAGTTCTTTTCAATCAAATTGAAAGGAAAAGAAAAAAAAACAAGAAAAACAACCCAAAACCAAGAATATTGAGCAGACTGTGGGACTGAAAAGGTCATTCTATACATATGAGAAGTACTTCTGTCTGCTGCTAGATTTCTATATGCATGTCAGAGTGAACATCTGTGCTTATGTATGACATATATATGTATGTGTGTTAATTTCTATCTATTTAAGAGTGTATTTCTATCTATATACACAAGATGTATGACAACAATGGAAAAGGCAGATGTTTAATTTTATAAGTGGGAAAAATTGTCTATGAAAACCTCTTAAAAACCTCAATTTTCTTTCCAATCTATTAAGAACTTGTCAAGGATAATTATCTGATGTGAAAGTGGTGCAAGTGGGAAAGCAGAAGTGAGAATTTTTCTCTTAATTGCAAAATCATGCAGAATTTTTTTCTGAGGTTCAAGATTGGCTGAAGAGATTCTTATCATTGACCATTTAGCTTTGCTGTATGGAGTAATTTGCTACCCTCTTTCAATTAAGGGAGCCCACATTTTTGTGAGTCTGCAGTGTCAATTACAAAAGTGAAATCAACCTAGCTAAAAATGACACAGACCGAGTGTAAATTTTGCATAGATATTATTAACATAAATAACTCCAGCATTCTGGCCTGTACTGAAACAAGGAGTGAAAGTGAGCTGCAGGGTTCATTTGGGCAGCAAGAATGAACACGAACCATGGGGACCACTGAGGCTAGAACTACTGATGCATTGATGTATAGAGGTAAGGTGCATAGAACTGAGAACACTGAAATGGAATTTTCTGATACTAGCTCTCTGTACCATTTTTGTCACCCTGAAGATTGCTTAGAGCTAACTCCAGCCTTCCTGTGCTGTGGCGTTTGTGCATGACTGAAATCACTAGGCTTTAATTTACCAGGAAAACTGCTATTGTGTCACTCCTGATGAAGTTATGTGCTGCCACAAGATGTCTTTCTGCTACTTCTCATTTTCCATGACTTGCAGCCACTCCCTGCCTGTTTGGTCAGCAGTGCTTTAGGATCAGCACATCAAGTGGAATAAATCAGTACAAAATCACTCACTTCTGTGGAATCGTGGCACTTTGCATTCACCATCTGGCCTAACGCAGTTATGATATCTCTTATGTCAATAGTTACAGTTTTGGTTCAGTTGCTTTCGCTTATCTGTGACATACCAGCTGCTAGGCACCACAGCTTCTTTTATTTTCGATTTTTACTCCATATGGTAAAGTGCCTGCATATTTTGGTATAGTCTGACAAGCTATGGAAGTGCCAAATGGTCCAATCTTGTAGAGCACTAAAACTATTCTGCCACCCTATCTAGATGGGCAATCTTAGTCTATATTTTGCTGTGTAGGTTTGATATGTTTTTATTTACCATATGCTACTTAAATTTGGATTTGAACTCTTTTGCTCCTGTGTCAGATCTGTACATAGTTATACAGCTACTTGGAGCAGAGCAGTGTGAAAACACAGTAGATGTTCTACAGTTTATTCAAAGTGCAGAGGATCTCTACCCTCACACAGTCCAAGTCTCTCTCTCAAAGTTAACTCAGCTTCGGGGCATAGGAAGGTCTTTGCTGTTTCTGCTTATTGCCATCATTTCCATAATGAGCTGTCATCTTTGAAACTGTAGGTATAGTAGCTATTTTATGCTTATTTGTATTGTTTCATTGTAATTTAAGAAAAGGAATAAAACTGACAAATCAATCCCAAAAGAAACAGCATAAATTGTCTATGTGTAGCCATGCTAGTACCTGCAAATCCACCAGAGGTTTTGAATAATAAAAGCATGGATAATAAGAAAAATAAGATAAATGCTTTCATTAAGGTAATAATCCTGCAGTTATTCCTTAAAACAGTATTAAAAATGGTATTTTGTTTAGAGCTCAGCCCAAAGAAATTATTTAGTTTAATACCTATGAGAGTTTTGTTCCTTTACAATAAACACAGTACAGTCTCAGTCTCTGCTCAGGGAGTTAATGACAAAATAAAGTCTTTCAGCCTGTCTCTCACCAACATTAAAAGCATTTTACAATTGTGATGTCAGTCTCAAGAAGCCAAACTTGTGCCAAGCTTAAGAATTAGAAATAAAAAATGTGTACTTTTGCACATCTGGATGAAGCCCAAAAGGTCTCTGAATACCGAGTATATTTTAAATGTGTTAGGAGAGCTTTACATGGCAAGAACAGTGGAAAGGCTCCTTGGAGCAAATGACTGTGAGGTACAGCAGTTTCAGAGCTAAACACTCTAGCCCCAAAGCCACAACCACATCACACTGTTCTTACCAACTCCCATTCTGGCATTTATCTGCTTTCCATCATTAGAGATATCCCTGGGTTCCAGCACTAGTGGAACAGATTCAGACATGTTTTTAGGGACAGCCTCAGCCCTAAGAACTGTGGCTTTGTTACAGAATGCCTTAGCTGCATTAAACACACAGTGGGGATAAAACATGACTGGTAATGGAGTTTCTTTTTCCGGATTTGTGTAGTGTTGCCTGAAAATTAAAGCAGAACCAAGGAGTTTTTTCCAGACTTTGAGCCCTTTATATCCCTACTGGCAGATTGTTAGATGGGTCCTGGGTATGGTTCTAGTCTGTAATGACCTCAGACAGTATTTGGAAGCTAGCATCAATCAAAGCCATCTACAACAGCTGGCAATTTAGACAGTGCCATCTCATTTTGGAGCATGCTCCAAAATGTCCAGTTCTGTGGACATAGGCTCTTACCCACTGGTCTGATGTATAAACGTGGACAAGGAATGTGTGTACATGTGGGAAGGAAGTCCTATGCGACATATCAGGAAGTCTCCCTCTCTTCTATGCTTCTGCTTGATGTCAGTACTTCATAAATGCAGCCTATACAGACTCAAATAAAAAATAAGACTTCTTAGAATATCAGACAGAATATTGAAGATGTGATAAAAATACATACTCCCACACTTTCCCTGATTGTACACTGAGGTCACATGCTGGTCTTCAAACTGGATGAACAAATTAGCAGTGCTACCGTGTAAGTACATCCCAGGCTCAATGTTATACAATGGAAAATGTGAGGTTATAACATATTATAAACAAGAATAATTATATTAATATTTTTATCAACTACTTTTGTAACACTGAGACTAATTTAGTAAATAAGGAGAAGCCTTTCAAATATCATGGAGGATTAGAATGATCCTGCAAAATATGTATCTTCTCACTGATTTAACTCTCTGCAATATTATGGGAAATGAGAAGAGTAAGAAACTTCATAATAAAAAAGAAAATTAAAAAGTAGCCTTCTTTCAGCCTGTTTGAGACAGAAACAGAGCCAGCTTCTCAGAAATGTTTCTAGTGAGTTGTGTTCAAGTGACAGTGATTTACATTTGTAGTACCCACATCTTACAACTCCAAAAATAATCGTGAATTTAAAACTGAGCTTAAGTGTGCATGTCATCTTCTGAAACACCATCATTTTTTTCAGTATTACTAACTTCTCTGCTCAGATGCAAAAACAGTCAGTTGCATATGTGGACCTGTTCTCTCAAATGCGTGCCCAAGATCAAGGTACACAAAGCCTCGATCCCAATACCATCCCAGTAATCAGCCAGTAATTTACCACCTCTATTCTCCTCCTTCCTTTTGGGACTCAGCCTCCAGTCAGAAGGACAGAGGAGAACAGTCCTGGCACTCCCAATCCCTTTAGCGTCTTTCCAAGGGATGCAAAGTCCTTTTCTGATGTTCTGCCATTTCCTCGTGGCAGCCTCCCATGACCCTACTTGAATGACAACAAGCGGATGGTGGTCTTCTTGTTTGGTCAGTCTCCTTAACGTCTCTGACACGTGCCCTTTTAAGACAGCAAATCTCTCTGGAGAGGTTGTCTGGGCAGCAGATGGGGGCCTCAGTGCCTCCCGGCATGGAATCCCCAGTCACCAAGACAATGCCGGGCAACGGTGCCCAGCAGCTGCTCCCGGGCAGGGGCTCTCCCTCACCCGCTGAGGTGATTCCCTGCATCAGCATGGAACTGGAACCCCAGAGCTGATTGTGTCACAAAAACATGCTGTGTTTGAGGGCCTGCAGGGTTGCCCTGCATGCTGTCTGGTCTCCAGCCCAGGACACGTCATTCTCTGTGAGGTGACACTGCGGTGTGATGTCACAGTGGCTACCTCATACACCCTTGTGGCAGCGGTGGGAGCGGTGGCTCAGTCCGCTTGTGGGACCCGCAGGAAGAGGAGCCAGAGAGAGCGTTGTGTCTGTCTGGACATATCCTGCTGCGATGGAGCGGCTGAGAGCCCTTCGAGGTGAGCTCCCTCCACCTCTCTGGACCGTGACACATGTGCCTGAGCACATGTGTGCCTCCAATGTGTTTAGGACGTGCCAGCAGCACTGTCCTTGCTCTGCTGAGTGCAGCTGCCCACGGTGGTTTCCCCAGTACCCCAGCAAGGGGATGACTCTCTCCCCTTCCCCCATCAACTCAGCCTCGTGCTGTGGGGCTGGAGGAGTGTTCCTCCCAGAGCTGGTCGGATGCTCAGCCCTGGCTCCAAGCAACACCAGCGGCAGCTGCTCTGCTCTTTCCTTCCAGGTCTCTTTGCCTGTGTGGGCTGCATGCCCAGGCGAACACGTCGCAGGGAGAGAAGCAGGGTGTCAAGCCCTGTCCCTGCCTGCGCCGTGACTTTACTGCTGCAGCGCCTGCAAGATCAGGAGGTGAGTTGGGGACATCCAACCATCAATCCTTGCCCTCCTGGCCCAGTGCCACGGTCCCGTGGGTGCCAGGCCCCGGCAGCACATCCACATAGCGATGGGTGGCAGTGGGCAAAGCAAATGTAACTGATCCTTGTCCCCAGGGTGACCGAGTGCAGGCGTACTGTGAGCTGGAGAGCGCCCTGAGGGAAGCCGACAGCCGCCCGCCCTGCGGAGTGGTGAACCGGCTGCTGGCAGAGGTGTCCCAGGACCTGACAGCAGCCCAGGTGAGGGGTCACTCCCAAAGGCAAAAGGAGCCGCCTGCCCACGCTGGTGTTCTGCTGGTGGATGGTGGTGGCTTAGGCCTTCCAAGGGCCTCAGGCAGTCTCCCGTGCCATGTGTCACCAGAGACTCTTTTTCAGGGCGTGACAGCCAATGTGAGGACAGCTGCCAGCAATGTCCTGGTGGCTCTGGCTCAGACGCACTTCACCTTGGTGATGGCTGAGCTCCAGAGCCTCCTGAAGGCCACAGGGGAGATGTCCAAGGAGTTTGTGCTCGTCACCCTGAGCAAACTCTTCAGCACATATGGTAGAGTGCCCTCAGCCTCCTGACATCTATAACAACCGGGAAAGGGGCCTCTCCCCTCCGCGCGTGATCTGCATTGAGCTGGGGGATGCAGGGCTGCAGCCCCTCCTTCCTCGCTGCCAAGACTGACTGTGGCCCTCTCCTTCCTCTCTGCAGCTCCACAGTGCATCCCCTTCACGTGGCTGACGCTGGCCGGCCTGCGCAGTGTGGTGGGCCAGGTGAAGAGTGGCCGGATCCTGCGCATCGCTTGTGCTGGTGAGTGCTGGACCCAGAGCAGGGGGCCTCGGGACAGCCCTTGCACCTCGCCCTGCTGCAGACTCTCACTGGCTCCCTTTTCTTTCACTCTCTTTTTAAAAAAAAATATTATTTTTTTTAATTATTATTATGTTTTTTTCAGTTGTGAAACAGTGGCTGGATGGAGTCAAGATGACCTTGTCCTCTGGAACCCAGTGCCCCTGGCCTGCCATGGAGAAAGAGCAAATCTATGAGAACATTCACGAGCTGCTCTTCTCTGTGGTGCAGAACTGGCAGGACTGCCAGGAGGAGGAGGTGAGCATTGCTGCACTCCCAGACCAGGATGGCAGCGGGGGCACCCATGTCGGCAGCTCTGTCTGTGCCCAGCAGGCTGAGAGCCGAGGGGTGAAGAGGGGGAGTGGGCTGGCTCTGCAAAGGGTCCCAAACTGGCTCTGTGCCAGAAAGCAGCCACGTGTCACAGCATTGTGGCAGGAAGAGCTGGGGATGAGGGTATGGGGAAAATCTGCCTGCCCTCCAGAGCGAGCTCATCTCCTGCTGGGCATGGGAGTATGGGGAAAGGGAAGGGAAAGAGAAAGCCCTCTCTGTTGGAAAGGCAGACCTTCAGTCTTTGACGCCGAGCTTTTGTGATCCCTCTCCAGGACAAACAGGCAGTCGTTGGGGCTGTGGCTGCCATGATGGCTGTCCTCCTGCAAGAGGAGCTGCACCGAGAGCAAGTCTGGGAGCAGCTCCTCTGGCTCATTCACCCGTGTCAGGAGATCCAAGACACCTGCAGGGTGGCCAAGGTGAGATGCTGCGCACGGCTCAGGATGGATATGGGGCCAGTGCAAGTGCAGTGCCACAAGAGGTCAGGGGGATGCAGGGAGGAGGTGGGGAGCCCTTGGATAAAGAAGAAACAGGTGTTCAAGGGAGGTCTGAGGCTTCCTGAGCTCTTCAGTCAAAGAATGAACAACCCAGACAGGAGCCAGGAGGGAGCCAAGAGTCACTGGGGCTCATCTCCTGGGGATGGGAGGTTTTACCACCACCACTGTGGGGCTCTGAGTGCCTGAGAAGCTCTGTGTTAAGAACCGGGGGGCCCATATCCAGTTGCATCTGATGGGGGAGAAGAGGGCTGCTGGGTGGGAAATGCCTGCAAACAATGCCCAAACAGAGCCTGGTTGAGAGCAGAGACTCTCTTGGTGCTGCTGGGAGGTGGGGAATAAACAAGAATGCCTGTGTGAGAGCTTCTCCCCGCGAAGAAACAATTGGGAAGCAGTTTCTCCGCTCCCAACTGGCTAGATGTGGCTTTATCCCTTTCGTCCTCTCCTGGTCTCTTGCAGAGCCTCACTATCTTCCTGGAGGCCTTAGAGGGCATTGAGTGTGTCATCCCAAAGGACAGGTTTCTGGACATCACCGGTGCCTTGTTCTACCAGGTAAGGGGAGCCTATCCTTGCACCTACAGCAGTTTCCCTCTAGCTAAGTCTCAGGAGGACTGCAAAGCTCCAAGTCCCTGAGTAAGGCGACTCAGCCTTAGCTCCACTGTGCCCGAGGCTGCTCCAGAGCCATGCATGTGTCCCCAGGGATGCTGTAGGGTGGGCCAGTCCTCTTCCCAAGAGTGCCCAAGGTGATGAGAATGGGCAGCACAGTGTCTTTTCCATCCTCAGTGCTGATGTGATTTTCTCAAATGGACCTTGTTCCCACAGCTCTATGACAACACCAAACAGCACAGCGAGGCTGATCATGCAGAGCTGACTCACTGCATCATGCTGCAGGGTAAGGAGAGGAGCTTTGGTGATGCCTGGCGGTGCCCTGGCCAAAGCCTCTCTCACAAACCTTAGGAATGGGCGTGAGTTGCTCGCTAACTCAGTGAGGGATTTCCTCCCTGCAGCCCGGATCTGCCCCGAGGAAACGATCCTGTTTCTGCAGTCACAGCTGGAAGATGACTGGGAGGCTGGATGCGTGGCAGCCCTGGATCTGCTTGGTGCTCTGGCTCGCTCTGATGGTCAGTACCACAGCTCAGGACTTCCAGAGATCCCTTCTGCCATCTGGGCTGTGGCTCCACTCATGCTTCTGCGCATCTCTTGCAGAGCCCGTGATGACGGAGAAGCTGCCCCAGGTTGTTGAGGCTGTGCAGCGTTTGTGCAGCGACTCCAGGATCCGGGTGAGCTGGTTTGGGAACAGAAAGTGCTGTGGGGGTGGTGATGCTGCTGGCAGCATGGGCAGGGCTGGGGTGACCAGGGAGGTGCTGGGGCATTGACCACACTGTCGTGATGGTTCCTGTGGGGAGAGCAGGCAGAGTGGAGCAGGCAGGTCCCTGTGCTGTGCATGGAAAGCAGACAGCCTGGTGCTAAGGCCTGGCCCTCACCTCAGAAGCCAAAGCTTCTCCTCTGCTCTTGTCTCTGCTCATGCTCAAAGGGCTGCCCCAATGAGCAGGTGGCTTCCCTTTGCCTTGTGACCAGAAAAATCACACCCACAATTGACCCCTGGCAGGTGAGGAGGGCCATTCTGCATTTCATTAATGATCTGCTGAATGCTAACGCCCGGAGCTGCTCAGCTTGGGATGTGGTGGGGCACATTTTCAGTGAGTTCAGCCGCACTGCAGGAAGAAGGGTAAGGACAGTGGGCAGCATGTTCTTTTGGAAGACCTGTGCTGCTCAGAGGGTGGCACAGAACCTGAGAGGCTCCTGAGAACTGAGCGTAACCAGCATTTCAACACCACTGTTGTGCAGGCAGCCGGAGACCTTTCTACCCGGGAAGCCCAGGAAGAAGGAGCCCTGCAGGAGCTATGCATGGACATCCTGGGGACACTGGACGTCTCTGTGAGAGGGATGTCCAAAGTAAGTCACACTCTGCCCTGCTGCTGTTCCTTGCCTTCACATCCCATTCCAACACCCCAGGTCTCTCCTCCAACATGCTCTGAAGCACACAAGACTCAGGGAAATTGACAGAGTCCTCTTCATCTCTGAGCGGAGGCAGGAATGCTGACTTGCTCAATTGCCTTGCTCCTTACAGCTCCTGTGGCCGCGGCTGCTACTGTTTGTGGTGCCAGCTCAGTACACTGGCATGCTGATCCCGGTCTCCCGCTGTGTCCAAGCCCTGTCTAAGAGAGAGGACCTGACAGGACGGCGGATAGAAGATCTGGATCCTCATTTTGTCAGCTCCATGTTTCAAGGTAGGAGCAGAAACTCCCCCAGAGAGCTCTGCTGACCTGTGTTATCACCTAGAAGGGACAGCAGAGGTGTGCGTGGCTGGGCACGGACTGTCTTGGAGTCTTACTCAGCACTTTTTTCTCCTCGCAGGCCCACTGCTGACTCCTCAGACACTGCTGGCGCGCCTGCTGGTGAGTAGATGCTCCAGAGGCCAAGTGTCATGAGCCCCCAGGAAAAAGCAGCACAGCCATGGGCAAAGCTGTTGGCTGTTCCTTGCCTGACAGAGCAGAGCCAAGCTGCTTCCCTCCTGGGGAGAAGCAGCTGCTCTTGCTGCAGAGGTGACCCTGCTTCTCCTTGCTCTCACTCAGGTGGTGGCAGGGAGTCCTGTTGCAGGCAGCGAACTCCAAGCCGCTGCCTTACTGCTGATGAAAAACCTCCACAGCAGGTTCCACAGAGCTGTGGGGGCCATGTGGGCTACTGAGATCCCCCTGCTGCTGCAGTGCCTTGAAGGTAAAGCGCTGGTGGGGAGGGAGAGGCAGAGGCAGGGAAGGGGTGGACTGAAAATGTACCTCTGCAGTGTGGCAGAGGGGAAGCATTGTCTGCAGCCCAGTGCTTGCTCTGCTGCTGTTCCCATTCCAGGGAGACAGCACTGAGGCCCGGGGACCTTTCCCCCCAGTGATCTGCCTATTCCAGGACACAGATGGGCCCTTTACATCCCCTCAGACAGCAGTCCTGGAGCAGTTAGTTCTGTGTTCCTGCAGGGACAGTGTTTGTGGGGAGGGACAGGTCATTGTGGAGGGGGTGCGGGTCCCAGCTTGGCAATGTCAAGTGCCCAGGCCAAGCCAGGTTTGCAGCAGCTCTTCTTTTGTGGCTTGATCCCAAGTAACGGTCTTTTGCTGTGCAGGGAAAGAGGAGAGCTTCCCGGACACTGCAGAGT